CCAGGGAGGTTGTTGATACCCCAACCCTGCCACTGTTCTAACCCAAGCTGGGTAAGGCCTTGAGCAACCTGGTCTAGTGGGAGGTGCCCCTGCCCATGGCGGGTGGATTTGGGACTAGATGATCTTTAAGGTCCCTTCTAACTCCTTAAAATTCTATGATTCCATGAATCTGTGATTTAATACCTCTGCCTTCTGTGCATGTTGTCATATTCAATCAATTAACATCTTAATCACAGCATCAATAACCGAGCTACAGAACAAATGAGACTGCAGCATGTTTATTTCTCCCTCAGAAACAGAGGTTAATAATAATTAAATATTTTTTAATTAAGGAAACTGATTTTGGGATGGAGGTGTGTTAGTCTCATTACTGGAAATAGAGTAACAGTACAAAGATACCCACTAAAACCACTAAATGGAGAAGATATAGATCTGAATAAATTCTGAACAATTCTTATCTTCAGTTTACTGTATCTTGCATCATTTGGGATGTTATTCCTTAACTCATCATCATGGCTAGGCTTCGCGAACGAAGATCTGGGAAGGCTCCATCCACATTTGCCGCAGGCACGCTGGTGGCTTATGAGGCCAATACGTGACAGACATATCCAATTGCAAAAGGCACAGCAGAAAGACTCCTTAGATGGTGTATTCTGCAATACACGATTCTTTCTGCGTTGCCTTTTTTCCTCGAGGGTGATCCTGCGTGTGTTTTCAAAGGAGACAGCTGCGTTATAGATGGTGTGTCTCCAGGCCTCCCGATTGGAGGCCAGAGTAGACCAGTTATGGTGATCAATATGGCCAAGGCTGAGATGTTGTTTCAGGGAGTCCTTGTATCTTTTCTTCGGGGCTCCTCTCATGCGGCAGCCAGTGGCAAGTTCACCGTAAAGCAAGATCTTAGGGAGGCGGTGGTCCTTCATCCTGGAGACATGACCTGCCCAACGCAGCTGTGTTCTCATCAGCATGGCCTCGATACTTGTGATAGCTGCTTGCTCTAGAACAGATGTATTGGTCACATAGTCTGACCAGTGGATGTTTAGAATTGTACGGAGGCAGCGTTGATGGAAGCGTTCTAAGAGACGCAGGTGGTGGCGGTAGATGACCCATGATTCAGATCCATATAAGAGAGTAGACAACACTATGGCTTTGTAAACACTGATCTTGGTGCTTTTCTTCAAGTGTTTATTACGCCATACTCTTTTATGGAGTTTTCCAAAAGCACTATATGCCTTTGCTAATCTGTTGTCTATCTCTCCGTCAATCTTACCATCTGAGGAGATGAGGCTACCGAGGTAATTAAACTGTTGGACTGATTTGAGCTCTGATTGACCAATGGTGATGTGGGGATGATGGGGGACATCCTGAGGTGCAGGCTGATGGAGGACCTCTGTCTTCTTTAAGCTGACCTCCAGTCCAAAGAGCTCAGCAGCGTCTGCAAAGCAGGATGTTAAACGCTGCAGAGCTGCTTCTGTGTGGGCAACAAGGGCGGCGTCATCAGCATAAAGCAGCTCCCGGACAAGATGGTTTAAGGTCTTAGTGTGGGCCTTCAGTCGCCTTAGATTGAATAGGCTTCCATCAGTACGGTATCGAATGTAGATACCGTCCTGATCATTGAGGTCTGCTGTGGCCCTTTGGAGCATCATGCTAAAGAAGACTGTGAATAGGGTAGGAGCGAGAACGCAGCCTTGTTTCACACCATTCTTAATTAAAAAGGGCTCAGAAAGTGTGTTGCCATATCTGACTTGGCCATGCTGATCCTCATGGAGTGAGATGATCATTTTGAGGAATTTAGGGGGACAACCTAAACGTTCCAAAATCTGCCACAGACCTTTTCTGCTCACAGTGTCAAAAGCCTTGGTGAGGTCGACAAAGGTTACATAGAGACCTTTGTTCTGTTCCCTACACTTCTCTTGCAGTTGTCTGAGGACAAATACCATGTCTGTGGTGCTCCTGTTGGCTCTGAAACCACACTGACTTTCAGGAAGGATACCTTCTGCTATAGTGGGTATTAGTCTGTTCAAGAGTATTCTTGCCAGGATTTTGCCAGCAATGGAGAGCAGAGTAATACCACGATAGTTTGAGCAGTCAGATTTAATTCCTTTCTTCTTATACAAGGTGATGATGACTGCATCACGAAGGTCAGATGGTAGTTCGCCGAGTTCCCAACAGCGCACCACGAACTCATGGAATTTGGTGTGGAGTGCAGGGCCCCCATGTTTCCAGATTTCAGGTGGAATTCCATCAATCCCAGCTGCCTTGCCGATTTTCACCTGCTGTATGGCCTTGAGGGTTTCTCCTAAAGTGGGGGCAGTATCCAATTCATACTTTACTGGTTGTTGTGTGATGGACTGAATTGCTGAGTCTTGGACTGTGCGGTTGGTACTGAATAGAGTCTGAAAGTGTTCAGACCATCGATTCAGAATGGAGGTTTTATCTGTCAGAAGTGTTTGACCATCAGCACTGAGTAGAGGGCTTTGTACCTGGTATGTAGGCCCGTATGCTGTTTTCAAGGCCTCATAGAAACCTCTGTGATCACCTGTATCTGCGCATAATTGAGTTTTTTCAGCTAGATCAATCCACCATTTGTTCTGGATGTCACGGAGTTTCTGTTGGAGTTTGCTGCACGCAAGACGAAGGCTGTTTTTCTTGCGTGACAGGATGGCAGTGCAAGGTGTGCTTGGTGGGCGGTTCTCTTCTTCCTCAACAAGTCTTGGATTTCTTGGTTGTTTTCGTCAAACCAATCCTTGTTCTTCTTGAGGGAGAACCCTAAGGATTCTTCGGAGGATTGCAGGATGCTGTTTTTAATATGATGCCAGATTGTTTCAGGAGAGGAATCTGCAGAAACTGTTATCGAGGGAATGTTATCGAGCTTAGTTTGAAGGTTTGCCTGGAAACTGACTCTTACTGTGGCTGATTGGAGATTGTTAACTTGGAGTTTTCTCCTTGGGATGCTGCCCCTTTTTGGTTTGATTTTGATCTTGAAATTGCTTCCTTAACTAGTGCCCTTGTATATTTGTCACATGCTCACTGAGCTGCAATTGCGGAGCAAAGCTGCCTGAGCCTGACAGGAACTATGGAATTGGTGAGCACCAAAGGCACTGCTTCATGTATCCCTGAAATAATTCTATTAACCTCTCATTTCAGAACAGTTGATACTTGGCCTGGCTGAGTGAGCCAAAACTATTTATGAACTGAGTTCAGTGATATTCTTATAAAGCAACAGCTGGGTTGCTGCAAGACAAGCTGAGCAATCAGCCAGTTCTGACCAAAATTTAAAGCCACGCTCATCAGCACATCTGGAGCAAGAATCTCTGATATGCTGGAGTTGGAAACTTTCAAAGTTTAGAGACTATCGGCCTTTCTATTCAGGTCATGAGGGGAGTCTTGAAGAGAAGATTCTACTGTTACTACTACCACCACCACAACTACTACTACTACTACTACAACTACAACTACTACTGCTAGCATTCATTACTTGTTACTTAGATTTCCTGGATCAAGAGCAAGCTTTAGGTTTCCGCTCAAGTGAGGTGATATTAATATCACCTTTTTCTAGTCACTGGTATTTTGGGACAGTTCATCTACTTCATATGTTACTTTTTTTCATTGATTCAATTTTAAAATATTTTATTTTTTTTTACTTTGAAATAGTCCTGAAGTTGTCTTTCCACTGTCATTTCTTTTCCTGCACTGTAACACTTAAACCCTACTTATTTGCAATGTCCCCATTATAAATTTAAAACAACACTTTTTCATGGAGAATAAGCCTTCATATCTGTAGAAGTTTAACTACTTCATTTTATGTCACTTGACTGACTTTTTTGAATATAATTTTTTTATGCTGTAAACAAATTCAAACTTGGGGCTAGCAGTACTTTTAATGTCATCCTGGCATGACAAATTCAAAGTAATTGAATTTGTTGCAACTGACAGTTAGCATGATACCACATTTGCCATGATGTGTCAGCACTACCTTATCTGCCTAATAGAGCTTCTGATCTTCAGATTACAGCAGTTGCTTCTTACTATTGATACAACTGCCTTCCACGCACAGCCTACCATGTACAATCCAATAAACATTTATAAATACTAATTCCACTTTTCCTTTGTTAAGGGCACAAAACTGCTTGCTCAAAACACAGAAAGGCACAAATAACTTGTCTCGAGGTTATTGCTCGATGCTGATTTCTGTAGTCATTTTGAAACATCAGAGGAACATTTTGCCCCCGCGCTTGCCATTTGTTCTGTAAACTGGTGTGTTCTTGTCCCTCCCTGACCTCCTCTCTGCCCCCAGGTCTTTATCTGTTATCTTCATTAGGATCTCTTTGGTTTCTAACAGCACTGGCAAGAAAAGATACACTGCTACTGCTCTATGAGGTCTTTAAGGAGTATCAAGTACATTGTCAAGGTAGAAAGACAAACTGGGAAGTCTTCGGTGTGTTTTCACTTGGGAAATCGAGGACAACGAGAGACTCCAGGGGCACATCAGCCAGAAGACTTACAGAAAGAAAGTATACTAACTCCACGACAACAGGTCACTGAAACCACCAGACTGGGACAAACAGCAGAAATAAACCTCTTCTTCCCTTCCACTCCTCGAAGGTATGTGCAGGGAAAGGAATCTGTGTGAGATGAAGTGTTCCAGAACTGTAAACAGCACTGGATGTCTCGCCTTTGGTTCCTCCTGCAGTGAAGATGGAGCAAGTCCAAAACTACAACCAGCTGAGGTGGATCAGTTTCCATGGGGTGTGCAGTTTCCATCTCTAATCCTTGGCAGTATCTACTGGGTTGGCAAAGGTGCACAAATTTCAGGGAAGAACAAAGGTAGCCCTGGTAGAACGAAAAATGCTTATGATTTTAGGCAGTCATCCCCATCATAATGGGATGCTCCCAAATGATAAGAAGGAAAAAGTTCACATTTTTCCTCTCTGTATTGATCATCAGTGACTTACAAATTTAGCTTTTGTCCTCAATATGTAAGGACACAATTCTGCCACACGTGTTCTCTGTGAAATTATTGCTCACAAAGAATCCCAGACTGAAATATTTAGTGCCTTTAATGATTAATTCCTGATAATATGGGTAGAACTAGATCATCTTAAAGGCCTTTTCCAACCTGAACGATTCTATGACTCTGTCCTGTGAATTTTCCAAAGAATTAACTGTGTGTAGAAACATATCTCTAAGTGTGATGCAGAAAGTCTGAGCACAGAATAGTCTTTGCTCAAATCAGTCCGTCAAGCTCCTTGCCAATATTCCTGGTAACCTGCTAACAATAAAACATATATTAAGTAATAGACTAAAAAATATAATAAGCTATAGATTAAGAAATAGCCCTACAACAAGCACTCAGTAATAGGTACCATGGCAAACTAATGCACCATACACCTAAATGCTACACCTAAATACTGAAAGACTCAGCCTTGTTATGGCTGAGGATGGATAATCCTCACAAGGATTCTGAAAAGCAGTACAAATATTTCTCATTATCTCTAGGTTTGACATCACTTTTTAACAGTGCAACAGCCTTATTAAGCTGAATCTCCCTGGGTTTTTTTCTGAGACACCCACCACTACAAAAACAGCAGGAGGGAACTGTGTTTCCTGTAAGTCTAAACACTGTACAGAGTTAACAGGAAACAAGAGACAGCGAAGAGATTTAGTATAAAGGGAGATGGCTCTTTCCTTTTCATGTGGACCACAGTGTTGTCAGCCAAACATCAGATCATCCTGATTTCCCTGCTCCAGAGTATATTAAGACATTTACCAAGAAAAATCTCTTTCATTTTAGGCAACTATCAGCTGCTTCAGTTTGCATTAATGTATTTTCCGTGTGCTTTATAAAAGCTTCTTTTCAAATTATCTTTCTTCTTGGGGAAAAAAAAAAAGAAAAAGAGAAGACTGGCCCATGAGTAGACACCATGTTGGAGAACTCCTGGGTGTTTGTCATCTTTTCATGTCACTGAGTATCCCTCAGTTCTCCTGCAAGAGAAGGACAGAGTCTGAGCTCTCTGCATTGCTCCATCTTTTGGGTTTTTTATACTATTGCCACAATTGCTCTACACATTCAATAATGCAAATTTTTTTCCTTTGTTTCAAGCTTTCTTAATAAGAAAAATTCTCTGACATCTCAAATGATGTGCTTTGCGCTTGAATCATTATTTAAGACAGGATTACTTTAATATATAGATTTTTTCTTTCACTTTCATTTATGATAGGGCTATGAGAGTTAATACTTGTTCAAGCTTTAAGCACTATTTTTATGTAATGAAAACAAGGGTATAAATAAAAATAAAATCAGCTGTCATTTCTCACCTTAAAACCAAAAAAAAAAAAAAAGGGTAGTCATCAAATACCAGGTTTCTGTACCTATAGAATACCTGTATTCCCTGACATTCTGGAATTCCTGAAGCATTAAGCACAGGAATAAAGATAATGCATCTATACATGTAACAGTAACACTGAAATTTCAGTATTGTTCTATGCAGTTTTCCTAATATAACCCACTGCCTTCTTTGCTTCTTTGACCACCATTGCACATTGAGCAGATGTTATCATTGAGCTTTCTCCAGTGAGGCTCAGGTCTTCCTCCAGAGTCATTACAGCTAATTTATAACCCATCAAGGTATATGAAAAATTCAGATGGTTCCTCCCAGTGTTAAGAGGTCTTCCAGAAGCAATGCCTTTGGAATTCATCTGAGAACAGAACTGACATTATCTGATATTTCAGTGCCACATTGCCAGCAGCTGTTTAATATTTTCATATATGCCATTTACCCTGACTAGAACATTAGGCTTACACTTTTATGGTCTAATTACATAGGCTTATGTTTTGATTTTTTTAATATTTCAAGGTAGTCATTCTCCCATAGGATCTGTTCTATTACTAAACTGATGTCACTTCAGTACCTTCCTACAAACTAAAACTGAGACATTTAAAGTGCTGTAACAAATTCTGAAGTAATTTCAAAGAAAGAAACCAAAGTACTTAGTTTCTGGCAAATCACAGATATACTGAAGTCTAGCTATCAAGACAAATATTGGAAAATATAGCATGAGCCACATGAGGTCATGTAGGGTTCTTCTAAATTAATGAAGGCAAAAGGGGTATTTATGAAGTAAACAGTCATCCCCATGAGAATAATTGTCTCAGTTTAACGAGACAGAAGTGTTTGCTAAGGATGGCAGGATATCAGGAAAACCAAACTCCTCCCTCTAAGCAATTGTAACTCTGAAATTAAGAGACTCCAGTGGAAAAGGTGTGAAAAAGAAAAATAACAGCTCTTTACAAAAGAACACACGTGTATAGGTAACACAGCAAAAGAAAACAACAGTCCCGCTCCCAAACTCCCACCGAAACCACTCCCGTCCTTTTCGCCTTCCGGCGCAGTTTCTGACCGCGGCCAGCAGGGGGCGCTGCTGGGCCCTGGCCCCGCGCCTGTGGGGCCCGGCGGGGGCGGCGGCCGGGCGGGCCCACGGAGGGGGAAGGGGGAAGGGAGGAGGGGGAGGGCGATTCCTCCTGTGCACTCACTCTGTTAAAGGCTCCGGCTGGAACTCCCCTTCCTCGTCAGCGGGTGTAAACTGCCACTGGCACGGAGAAGGAGTTGGGGGGGAAGAACAGCCCTTCCCCTCAAAAGTTCCTCTGCAGATTGGTACCGGCTTTTCCGATGAAATCCGAGGCAGGTCCGGGCCGTGGGCAGAACAGGGCGTGAGGGGACGGAGGCGAGCCGGGGCCAAAAGCAGCTAGGTGACGGCCAAAAGCAGGGTGACCCGCAGAGCTCTTTCTCTTCACACACCCCCTCCCTAAGTCCGGCACAAAAGTGAAGCCTCCTCCCCAGAGGAAGGAAAAAAAAATAAGAAATAAAAAATAAAAACAAAAGCTCACCTCCCCCCACAGTCTACTGAAGCCATTAGCTTGGAATGTGGGGCTTTTGTGTGTGTGCTCACTCTAGCCATCTCCTCCCGCCGGCAGCCTCTCCAGCAGCCCCTCTGCTCTCACCTTTCTTTCACAGTGGTAAAGGGGAAAAAAAATTCCAAGCAGGGTTCTTTTTTTTTTTCTTTAAAACAAGAAAACCTATGTCAATGATGAAAGAAGGATTCCCAGGAATGGTTTTGGGAGAGCTGATGAGCATGTGTAACACAAAATCCAGAGTCTGGAAGATGGGAGATGACAGGCAGGCTCCTAGCAGAGCTCAGCAGGTTGGAATAGGATTTCTTGGTTGATAATTCGTCATATTTTGTGTAATGGGGAAAGAGGTCAAGGTTGGTGCTCAGTGAAAGCTGAAGAAGTGCATAGTGTCCAGTTAAAAAATATGGCCTCAATTCGCTGGGTTTCCACTCCCCATAACCACTCAATGTTAGTCCAGTGGCCGATGCTTTCAGGTTAAAAAAATTTAGTTTCCTTCTGTGACTGTGAGAGAAAAACCACTGGAGCTCTGTCCTTCTTGTCGTATCCATTCCATGGATAATAATTAAACATAAATGATTAAACATCCACCAGAAAAACACCAGCATTCAGGTGTTTCACCCAAATACTGGGTGAGTCAGGCAAGTTTTCTGTCTTTCAGTGACAACCACTAAAACTGGAAAATGAAGGCAGATTCACACCTGGCTCTGTGCTATGTGCATGGGTGCAACTGGTTTTATCAATGCACTGTGATTGTTCTGACACTGTAATGCTCCTCTTTTCCATGAAATACTTTAGCAGTTGGTGAGAACAGACATGTGACTTGTGTCTGCTGTGGTGAGAACACTTGTCTGAGAGGTGTGAAAGCTTAATTATTTATTCAAAGCAGTAGGGCTTCATGGGAGACTTGAGAAGATTCTTCTCCCTCCTCTCCCCTTTCTCTCCAAAGCACATTACAGATATTCATCAGGGAAATGCAGATTCACATCCTTCAGGGAATAAGAGAACTCCATCTGAGCAGTTCCTCTAACCCAGCAGCACTCGGGTTATAAGTGACACCTCCACCTGATGACTTTAACCCACATTTCTTTCTTATTTTTGTAAGACATATTTGCACTCCATAAAGTTGTTTTGAGAATACAGAGCTTTTTTCTCCAAGAAAAAAAATGTGACAGATTATGTCTTCATTTACCATGACTTGTTTTTTGCTCTCATACCCATATAAGAAGTCAAATTTAACCCTACCACTACTCATTCTTCTTCTACCCTCTCCCATTAAACTAGCAGAACTGTCTGCAGTTTTATTAATCACAATTAAAATCTGCTAAAATATATAGAATTTACAATCAAAAACAATTTTTATGGATAGAAAAAAAGACACTTTGTAAACTCCATGTTATTTACATGAAGCAGATCAATAACAGGGAGCAAACAAGTGGTTGTTCTGGGTTCAGCTGTGAAAGTATGGGGGGAAAAAAGTGGACCCAGAGTTTTTGCAATCCAAGTAACTGCAAAGAATAATTCTAGGATCTGCAGAAAAAGTCATGAAGGATGCCTGTGAAAAGCCTTAAGGTATGCAAACATTAAACACCATTTTTAACGGCAATTTGCATTACATACTCCTTCTATTCAATTTGTACACAAAATGTTAGTAAAGTGACAGCACGTGCAGAGGGAGAAGGGAAAAGGGGGGGTAACTTCAGCACTGTATCAATTATTTAGTAACCACTAAAGGGAACAAAAGAGAGAAGAGGAAGTGGTAGTAAAATCTCTCTGACTGATAGTGAAGTGCATCATGTTTGTTGCTCATTAGTATTTCTCATCATACCCTCCAGGGTGAACCTAAGACAGCACCCAAACTTGGAAAAGCCTCAAACATTATTGTCTAAAATTTGCTATCTGACATAAAGCAGGAGCTTAATTGCAGCTTTGAATTTCTAGAAGGAGTATTCCAGGCATTTGTTGTTAGAGGGAGATGATGTCCACCCACACAGATACCCATGCCAGGGATGGACATGTAGCACTGTCTCAGAACACCCTTCTTCAGATGTTGGAAGAAGTTTAATTACAGAGTTCCCTCCTAACCATTATTACCTCCACAACTGCACAGAGAGCTTTTTGCTGGTTCACATGATCAGCTCAACTAACAATGAGTCCTCAGAAGGTGCAGCTGAATGAGCTTCCCATCACACTGCAGAGTGGCTGCATCTTCACATCCATCCACGAGTTCACAAAAGCAGCACTTAATTTCACTTACTTCAAACTCTTGCTTCCCCTCGAATTTTTCACAATGCATCCATTCCCTCAGAGTTCACTTTGCTGATGCCCCTCCAAAGAAAGCCATGGGACTGAAATGGAACAGACAATTCTGCTTAAGAATAAGCATTTCTCACCATTCACCAGGTAAAGTCACCTTCAAACAGCTTATCTCCTGAGAAAATAGCACACCTGTTAGGAAGTCTATGTTGGCTTTCAGCTGTAGCACCCAGCCCTCTTTTGATCTTTCCTTTTTTAAATCAAGTCATTCTTAATTTCTTACCTATAGACCACAAATTTCTCAAAATACATAGTCCAGACCAGATAATTTCAGTAGGACTAACATTTTCTGATATACAGAGATATTAGATATTGTGTTTTCTTAGCTAAGGTGTCAATTTGGTAGATTTTCTTTAAGTGCATTTAAGGCCATGCTTTGGAACTTTTATTCAGACTGAGTTTCTCATTCTGTGAAAGCGCTAAGTTCATTTTCTTGTGAAATAATTTTTTCAGAATGTGAACCTGTGTACCCAGCAAAATGGGTAGATATCATTAAAAAAAAAAAAAGGGGAATACCAATCCAATCTTATCAACCCTGTACCAATTGCTGGTTTTGCCTTGAAAGAGTGGAAACCAAATTTACAACATTTTATTTCCTTGGATACTTAAAAATGACAACAGCAGTTTGCCCAATACCTTAAAAAAAGCCCCACCATATGAAGAGGGGACATTTTATTCAAGATTAAATGGTAAAGACAAGTTCCAAATCAATACTGTAGGTCCACAAATAAAACACAGGTTAAAACTAGGCAGCTAAATTCAAGACCAGATGCTCTAGGTGCCAAATTCTACCTTCTCATACCACCCTTCTCAAGCCAGCACCCTCATTATGACTTTCTACTGCCTAATTTAAGTATCCTGAGGGATCCCCTTTTGGATCACATCACAGAACTTACCATTAAATCTATAAAGGGTGCATTTCACTCGTTATGTATTCTCAGGTTTCTGCCTGGCAGAAGAAACAGCTACCTCTCTCTTTACTGTGAATCAGCATCAAATTGTGCACACATAGGTGCACTTTCCTGTATATTCAATGTTATAACTTTCTAAGCACACTGTACAAGAAGTTAAGTGGATTCAGAAGCACAAACTTGTTTTTAATGAAGAAATAATTAGATAAATCTGCAGAACACTCAAACATTTTAGATTATGTGTGCAAAAGTACCAGGTTTTTTCACTGCTTGGGATCTGATCTGCCCATAAAATTCAATAATCTTGCTGCACACAGTACCTCATAAACACCTCTTTTTTAAAAAGCATAATTTTCTGGTTCTCTTAAAATGGAAATTAATAAAGGACTTCTTTAGTCACCTAGGATTTTTTTCTTTTTTTCATTAAGGCTCATCCTTAATATTGGAAAGCCGCCACCAAGATCAGCAAGTATTCTGCCTAAGGGAGGCAGGAGAATTTTATTTTATTTTATTTTATTTTTATATTAAAGGAATGTGTAGAATATAAAATTCTATATCCAGAAACCTATTTCTTTCAAACTGAGTTTCTGTCCAGTGAATTGCACAGATACCTTGATCCGCATGGCTCAAAGTTTGCTGACATGAAAAAAATAAAGTAATATTTAAAGTATTCACAAAATACTTAGAATAGTAAGAGTTTACTGTGACCATGAAATTTTTTCACTGCTGGAAAGAATTCACAAATTGCTTCAGTGATGTTTTCCTGTTGTAAAGGCACCCATAGAAAATGCTGAAAGGACTGAAAAACCAACTGTTTAATCTCTGTTGGTATTATCCAATAATATCAAGCACAAAGAATTGGACAAAAATAGAATATACATATGATATAATATTACATTCCTGAAAAATAGTATATGGCACAACAAAGAGCTAAAGAAGTTTCTTTTAAAGACTATGACATGTTTCACAGAACACTTCACTGGTGAGGACAGAAATACTGTCAGATTTAACAAAAGACGTGCACACACATGCACATAACAATTATTTTTAAAAGTACAAATAAAACAAAAATAAAAAATGCCTTTTAAGGTATTTAAGGAAGGTATTTAGGTATGAAAACGTCACTTTGATTATTCACTGCACTTCCTGACATAAGGCAGTAAAAGACCAACTTTTTTTGTTTGTTTGTTTTGGTACGGTTTTTTAAAATCTAAGCAGTTATTACAGCTTATTCTGACTGGTCAGCTAAGCCAGTTATTTGCCTGCTGCTTTTGGTGAATGGTTAGTGGTGAAACGTGAAAGGAGCAAAGGCTCTGAAGATAGGAAACCCTTTCCAAATACCTCTTTATAGATCAGAGGAAGGGTCCCTGTGTCTGGAGTTGTGAAGGGATATATTCTGAACTTCTATTTTAGTTTGAATCCTCCACAAATGACAGAACCCCCTCTATTCATTCTGTCTTTTGGCCAGCAAGTCTTCATCACATTTTTTTTTTTATTTTACCATTTTTCATGTGTTTACCTCTGCTTCCCTTCTTCTAGATTTTCTACAGAGCAGTAATGGATCCTTTAAATCAGATAAATCCTCATGTTGCTAAGAATATATTTGCATTTGTTGCAAAAGTATGAGGAAAGCTGGGCTAAACCAAAAGGCTTTTACTATGTAGGGCTCAACTTTAAGTAATGTAGCACAGCTCTCGACTATAAAACTTCAACATTCCAAAAACATTTGGTTCCCCTCATATGAATGGTTTCATAGATTAT